TCTCACTTGCTTGGAACAGAGAATGCCTAGTATTGTTATCAATGGATCCAAGGCATTCTCTGGTTGGATGTGGGACGGATTTTGACATCACTGCCCCTCATCCAATCAGAGAACGCCTTGTACTCATTGATAAAAATATCAGTGTTCTCTGAATTACTGCTGTGCTGTCCTTTATAGGTGGATATCAGTCTGGAGGAATAGGTGTTCTTGGGCAGGCTATACGTATTACACACATTTGATGCTGAGCCTCTATGGTTGAAAAAAACTGAAATCCAGTTAATGAAAGTGGTAAGCCAGGGACAGGCTGGAAAGCGCAAGATGATGCTGGATCTTGTCCAGATAGAAAATGAGGTCGGCTCCATCTGACCTGCTGCAGCTTCTAATGCACAATGTGAGAAGCTCCCAGTGTGCAGTGAAATCTGAGGAAGCCATTTCAGTCCAGGAGAGGAGCCGGTACAACTGTGCAAGACTGAAGGGACTTCAATATAAATCATGGGGGACTGTCCCCTAAAAATTGGACATAAGTTGCAGTCTGGCACAGATTCTAAAGCAGAGGTACATTGAATCAGTTCACATATCATACTCACCCTTTCACTGACGGTTCCTATCTGGTTTGTCCGGCAGAGGTTGCCGTATTCCTTGCTGTATTTATGGCATAGCTGGCTGGCCACCTGTAACAGAACGAGGCGAGTCAACCTTATTCAGTTATTCTTATATACAATAACAACAAAAAGTTTCCACTCTTAAAGCCTTTATTACCCACTGAAGCTCTGACATTTGCCCAATCGAATTGTAGAGGGCGGGGTTTGGTGTCTGAAGCGGGCAGGGCTTAATCATGACTTGAGCAGAAGTCAAAGCCCTGTGACAATCTGCGCCATAGGGACTCAAGGATCAGTCTGAAAGCTGAGTAACTTAGAGGCAGTCATAGTGCAGCACAGAGTTTACCTTACATATCTTTTAGTCCAGATCAGATTCCTTTTATAGCAAAACCTGAGTATTGCCCATGCACAGCAAAAGCAACAAATACTTCTCTGTCCTACTGTCTGAGCCAGCGAACTCCTTTAGTTGAGGGAAAGAAGCTTACTTAAAAGGGAACTATGACCCAACCTTTTTTGCCATAGTTCTCTTTAGCGTCACAGGAGGACGTATACTAATGTCCTCGTGTGATCCAAAGCTCAGCATATTGTGGGCTATTGTGTGTGTTAGGGGAAATGCCCATTTGCCCATATAACAAGTAACTTGTTGGGGAGTTGTTTTAGTTTTCTTTATGGCATAGTTTGTTTTAGATACTTTTACAATTTGTGTCTCATAGTCTGTTGTAGTCCCTTAAACACATCATTCCTTTGTTAGGTGTAAAAATGTTATAGGGATATAATTTCAGATTCTAAGCTTTTACGAGCAGGGCCCTCAACCCTCTTGTCTTGCAATGTGTGTAACAATGCTGTCTCCCTTTATTTTGTAAAAGCACTGCATAAACTGCTGTCATTATATAAATCCTGTATTATAATAATAATTTATATATATATATAATTTATTTTTAAATTATTATTATTAGGGATGCACCGATACCAGTTTTTTGGTATCAAGTACTAGTACTAATATTTTTTCCTGGTATTCACCGATACCGAATGCCAATACTGATAGCCAGGTGGATACCGATACCGATAGCCAGGTGGAGTGTAATGACCCACCACCCGGCTTCCCAATTAGCCGGGAAGCCGTCTCCATGCTCCCTCGTCACCAGGTGACGAGGAAGCATGGAGCTGGCTTTCTGGCCAATCAGGAACCTGAGGGGCGCGTACTGACTCACCGCCTGGCTTCCTGATTCAACAGTTTCCTGACCAATAAGGAAGCCAATAAGCGATTTATTACACGGCGCCTGGCCACCTCATTGGCGATGGAGCCAGCTTTCTGTCCAATCAGGAAGCTGGGCGGCGATTCATTACACACTGCCTGGATTCCTGATTGGCCGAGAAGCCGGCTCCATACTACCTGGTGATGAGGGAGCATGGTGCCAGCTTCACGGTCAATCAGGAACCCGGGCGGTGTAAAATTACTCGCCACCCGGCTTCCTGATACCGGAAGTTCTGGTATCGGGATAGGCATCGCGAGCATTTGGGCGAGTACAAGTACTTGCCCAAATACTCTGTATCAGCACCAATACCGATACTACTATTGGTGCATCCCTAATTATTATTATACGGGATTTATATATAAGGATTCATCATCATTAGTAGTATTTATAATCAAAACAGTGTTGTTCTTGCAATTCTGCTTTTGACCAGGTGGAGGAGCACAATACTCATATCATGTATCTATTGCTCCCTGTAAGGAATACACTGCTGCTATTTATTTGCTTTGCAAAGTATTTGGGAGTGGCTGTGTACACAGCAAATGCATTTTCGATAGGAATAAATTATCCCTACTCAGCAGTGTAGTTGGGATTTTTGCTGCCATCAGGGGACAGATGGAACAGAAAAACAAAGAGCCCATTTTATTTGAGATTTTCATATTTTAGGTGTTTATCGAAGAGACTTTATCAAATAGGTTCAGTTGTAATGTATTTTTTATTGTTTGCCCTTTGGTTGCCTGTAATTAAATGTTATGGGTTGTCTGCGTACAATAGGGACAGTTGTATACCTGTGGACTATATGGATGGTTGTATGTCTACATATTTATATATAGACACAAATGATATAAATCCACTTTATGTGCACCAAATGTCCAGATAAACCAAGATATCTCCTTATACAAGTAGTGGTGACATCATCAATGTGTTGTACACAGCCTGTGCAGAACGCAGAGCTGTGGGAGGGGCCCAGCAGGCTGCCTGCATAAAACTACAGGAAGGGGCGGAGACAAGACCAGTGACTGTGCACAATTAGAGAGCAGCAATGAGTGGCCTGTAATGCTGGCCACAGACTGTTGTCTTGCAATGGTTGTAAGGTAATTAAAAAAAGTAAGATCTGCCCATCTTGGACAGGCAGATCTTACTTGCGATAATCGCAAGCCCGCCCCACTGAGGGGCGGGCTTCCGATGACCGCAATGCTGAACGGGCAGTGTGCGTTTGCGCACACCGACCCGTGCGGCATTTATCTTATGAACATGCCAAACACCCGCCGACAATCGTACGATTCTCTGCTGGTTTTAGAAAATGTTCCAAAGATAAAAGTCATGCGACCGTACAGTAGAAACGGTCGCACGCCTTCCACACACCTTGCGATAATCGTACGATCGCGTGATTTCCCACGATTATCGCAAGGTGTGTGGGCACCTTAATACAGGAAGCTCCAGCACAGAGGTAACATTTCACACTGGATTTCTGCACACATCTGAAAGAATACACATGATTCTCTTATGATGACATTATTTGTTTAATCCAGAGTTGTTACAGAAGTAGATGTCACAATATTTTGGAAGCTTTTGTTAATTTTGCTCACTTACCGTCTTGAGCTCACAGACTTCAGTCTGCAGGCGTGGGGCAGCCCAGATCAGGGTGGATACAGCTTCAGCCAGCCCGGGGTCCAGTTCCCTGTAGAAGAGAAAATATGAATGTTTGTTAAAACCCTTACTGAACAAATTTGGGGTTTTTTAAATAATATTTTTGCACTCACTTTTTATATTTTTTTAATATATTTTTACTTAGTCACTTTATTGGGCTTTTTTCAAAACATTTTTGCTGCCATTTTGTTATATTTAGTTTAATAATAATAAAAAATATTTATAATGTAAATAATAAATAAGGTACAATATTTTTGGGTCAGTGAACTTTTGGCAGGCTATCACGCTGTCATTTTAGAAACGTTAAAGTTTAATATAAAATTACCAATTTACCATTAACCCCAAGTTGACTCTGATCCTTACTTTACCCCTAAAGCTAACCTTTAACCTCAACCTAAACTACAAATCTAACGCTTAACATAATGAAACCCTTAAACACATCCCTAAGGGCTTGTTCACACCAAGCGCGGAGCAGATGCAGAGCAGAGCGGTTACAGAACACATCCGAAATTCATCCAATGTATTCCAATGGTATTTTGGGCTCTAGTTCACACCAGAGCGTTCAGTTCCAGAGCATGTGGAAAAACTGCAACATGCCCTATTTTTCTGCTCTGGAATGCACCAAAACACGTGCAAATGTGTAGAGAATGCATGCAAACGCCCTGGAACGCACTGAAAGCCCATTTTAGGCTAAAAAAAAAAGATTTCTTTTTTTTTTAAACGGAACATGTCAACAATGCTGCAAAAAGCAGCAAAACACACTGCACTGCATGTGCAGAAACTCATGCAGATCTGGTCCGGATTTGGGGTGAACAAGCCCTAAAGCTGATCCTTAATAGGAGGTTTGAGTACACTGAGACCGTCAATCCCTAAGGGCCCATTCACATCCAGATTACCTCCAGACCAAACCAGACTGTTTCCGGACCCAAAATGCATCCTAATGTATCCCTATGCTATTCCTGGCCTCTGTTCCCACCAGCGCAGTCCGTTCCAGACTAGACCAGAAAAGTACTGCTTGTCCTATTTTGTCTGGTCTGGAATGCACTGGAACGCATTAAAAATGCATGGAACACACTGGAACGCACCTGTAAGATCATTTTAAGCACACACACAAAAATTCCAATCGCGGCAAAAGCGCAATGCACTATGTTCCAGATCTGGTCTGGAAAATGGTGTGAACCCAGCCTAAAGGAGCTTATAATTTCAGGAGGGGCCACTGCAATACAAAGAGACCATACAAAGAAGCAGAAAGGGCCTAAAAGGGTAATATGAACCCAGGGCCCAACGCTAAAAGCTACAGTGCAAACCACATAGCCAGCCAGGAGACACAGGGCATGTTCTCTGGGAAATACTGTTCAAATGATCTTCTCTAGAAGGAAAAGGAACCAAATCCCATTTTTGCATCACTGCTTAGATTCACCCTATTTAAGACCTGTCAAATGTCACATTCACTACACATTTGGTGAGCAGGTATTTCTCTGTGCACTAAACAGAGGAATCCTTGCTTTTTATGCTGAAACTTACTAGCTGCCCAAAGTTCTTTACCTGTGTTTTAAAAAAAATTAATGGAATTTAAGGAATCGTTTTTTTTTTGTTTTTTTTTTAAATGTACAAAATAAGATTCAAAATAAAAACAATAAAATAAAAGTTAAACTGATTACATTTCTTTTTTTTAAAGAATCAGAAAAATGAACCCTCAAAGTACTGATTCCATGAAATAAGACACAGGTTCAGCACATTGGAGAGCGTCGTCCTCACAGTCACTGCTGAAAGGTGAGCGAATGCCGGTATCTGAGGTGAGCGAACGCCGGTATGTGTTCGCTCACCTCCCGATCTGCTGAGCCGACCTGTGACAGTCTCATTGTCACAGGTCGGCTAGAACTATGAGGTGAGGGAAAAGCACTCACCTCATAGTTCTCCTTTAACTTAAATGGTTACATTAGCCGAATCTAAGCAGAGACACCTGGCAATTCTGCCGCAGGAGTCCGTAGGTTCTTGCCGTAAGATCTCACCGTGTGAACTGAGCCTTACGTTGGATTAGGGAAGGGTTAAAACCCTTTTTCCACTTTTTATTGCTGCCTATCTGGCCATCGAAGTGATTACTATTCAGTCCTTGTCCCAAGGGACAGTGACACCGGCACCATAGATGAAAACACATCTCCCAAACGAGGACACAGCTGTAAAACCCAAATAAAGTATTCAACCCTTTTCCATCCAGTTCTAAAAGAATCAAAACATTTGGGCTGGAGCTCCACTTTCACTTAGTGAAATCTGTTTAGTCTTACTTCGTGGACTGGATTAATCCGGTGCGGGCCAACAGGAGGTCACAGTACAGCTCCAGGATCTCCATAGCCTCCACCAAGTAGTCTTCTCGGATAATGTGCTCCACGCGGATTCGCGCTCGTTCGTCCTTTCGGCACGATAAATAGTCAGCAATCTCCTTCCTGGATTTCATGGCCATTTCAGCTGCAGGGACATAAGTTAAGTTGTGTCGTGGAGTGAAATCTATACTTTTAAATTGTCTGAATTAAATCTGCATCCTGTACAAGTTTCTAAAAAAGTCAAATTATCTTAAAGTCACAGACATCTTCTGCAATGGGTGCATGAAGTATAATTGTACTTTTGCATCCAATTTACACTAGGTGAGATGCTTTAAAGCAGGGGTGCCCACAATTTTTGTGTTAAGATCTACTTTTCAAATGACGAGCTACATGAGATCTACCAACGAAAAAAAAACTCCCTCGCTCTCCTGGCTGTCTCTCCTCGCTCTCCTGGCTGTCTCTCCTCGCTCTCCTGGCTGTCTCTCCTCGCTCTCCTGGCTGTCTCTCCTCGCTCTCCTGGCTGTCTCTCCTCGCTCTCCTGGCTGTCTCTCCTCGCTCTCCTGGCTGTCTCTCCTCGCTCTCCTGGCTGTCTCTCCTCGCTCTCCTGGCTGTCTCTCCTCGCTCTCCTGGCTGTCTCTCCTCGCTCTCCTGGCTGTCTCTCCTCGCTCTCCTGGCTGTCTCTCCTCGCTCTCCTGGCTGTCTCTCCTCGCTCTCCTGGCTGTCTCTCCTCGCTCTCCTGGCTGTCTCTCCTCGCTCTCCTGGCTGTCTCTCCTCGCTCTCCTGGCTGTCTCTCCTCGCTCTCCTGGCTGTCTCTCCTCGCTCTCCTGGCTGTCTCTCCTCGCTCTCCTGGCTGTCTCTCCTCGCTCTCCTGGCTGTCTCTCCTTGCTCTCTCCCCCTGGCTGTCTTCTCTCCCCTGGCTGTCTCTCCCTGCTCTCTCTCCTGGCTTACCTTGCTGTATTTTGCAAACAGTGTAGTGCAACAGGCTGTGTAAACTAATATTCTTTGATGTAATACATAGCACTTCAACCACCAGTATCCACCAGAAAGGTGTCAGAGAGCTTGGCTCAGCAGACTCAGGCTAATAGGTAATCATGTGTGCACAGCTAAATAAATATACCAAAATGGAATAAAGGGGCCGCCATTCACACCCTTCGTGATCTACCAGCATCAGCATTGAGAGCTACTGGTGGATCACGATCTACCTAATGGGCACCCCTGCTTTAAAGAGTCTCACAAACAAAAGTGGTGCAGAGGCTGCAGGTTTTCATATTTGAGAGTACTAGGATCTATAGCTGTTTAATATAGTAACCATGTTTAGGCCCAGTGGCCTAGGTTTGGCAGCTGTCCACAAAATGTGGTTTACCCCAGAATTCAGGGATCACCCTGTTTTGAAAATCTGTAAGTAATCTAGGTAAAATGAGCTCCAAACCCACTCTTTAAAAGTTCTAAATGTTTTTTATTGATTCCATGGAGGACAGATGGTTTACAAGAAAAAGCCAATGGGTTTCAGGGGCCAAAGAATCACCCTTCATCAGGGTTTCAGGCAGCTTGTTGCAAAATCTAATGGGCTCTAAATTAGGAGGCTGGGCTTGTATTGTCAAAGCCAGGAGCAGCTAGTCAGTGGGCCTCACTATAAGAAAGTTTTGCAGTCAGGTTGGTGTGGGTTTGGTGCTCCTTTTCGCTAGACCACCTACAGTTTTGTCAGTTTAACATTGAGACAAATCAGGTGGTGATAGTGGAGACAGATCCTCCAACTTAGTAGTCACTTTATCAAAAGTGTCCGCAAGCAATAAGTTTGTTGAAACCCTTGCCATGTCTCTAGAGCAGTGGTTCTCAACCTGTGTAACCTCGGGACCCACATGTTTCCTTGGTCATTAAGGCGTGACCCAAAAATGATTTCATTTATGAAACATTTTAATTTATTACACAAAACAACTTGTGCAGTATTCAGCAATATATATTTTGCTGAAAGTAAATTAATTAAAAAAAAATTAAAAGTTTATAAAGAATAAAAATTAAATATTTAAAAAAATTAAAATAAAAACGTGTGGGGGTGGCGGTTGCGGGGTACAGTTCCAATGGATGTTTATATAATGGGGGGGGGGGGGGGAATGTCTGCCCCGGGCGCCCATAACTCTGGTTACGCCACTGATACTGATGGACATTATGTGGGCTTGGAATACATAATGTCCATCAATGTACTCTGTCCTAATGTCCCCTGTCAGTGCAGAACCTGGAGGGGGTGGTGAGGGTGTCTGTATGGGGAAGGGGGGGCATTAGCAGGGGCACCACGGCAGGTTCTCTACTAAGCCCCTGCTAATGCCCCCCGAAGCTTCTGCATTGACAGGAGACATTACGACAGGGGACACTATTGGATATTATGTGGGCTTGGAATACATAATGACCATCGGTGTCCCCTGTCATAAAGTTCCCTGTCAGTGCAGAAGCTGGGGGAGGGGTGCATTAGCATAGGCTCTGCTGCAGGTAAAAAAATTGCAGCGGAGCCCCCTGCTAATGCCCCCCCCCATACCCTCCCCAGCTTCTGCACTGACAGAGGACAATATGACAGGGGACACTGATGGACATTATGTATTCTGAGCCCAGTCTGTGTAATAACATTAATTGTGTATTTAATTAACATACATTATGACAGGGGACAGTGATGGATATACATGATGGATATTATGTGGGCTTGGAATGCATAATATCCATCAGTGTCCCCTGTCCTGCCACAGTGCACATCTCCCTATCTGCCTGCCTACCTTTCTCTGATTCCAGCCGACTGAACTATCTGGACTGGAGAGTACAGTAGATACAGCGGCGGATTGATATCTGCTGTACTCTCCAGTGCAGACCGGAACTATAACTTAATTGTCGGGCGCCGCGGCTCCTGATATTAATGCGCCGGCCCGAAAGTGAGGAAATAGTCCCCTCTCTCCCCGGGCCATACCACTTTATCGGAGAGCCCGGGGGAGGCTGGGAGAGAGGGGACAGTTTGACATTATGAGGTTCCACAGGCTGAACCACAAATGCCCCCTCTAGTTCTCTCTAATGCAGATGGGCCGGTCTATGCAGACATGACGCCGCGACCCACTGCAGAGGGTGTCGCGACCCACTTTTGGGTCGCGACCCACGAGTTGAGAACCACTGCTCTAGAGGATTGTTTTTTTTTTCTTAACAAAACTCAATAGTAAGAGGGCACCCTTTTGAATTTTGTACATGAAGGCACAATTGCCTTAATAGGAAAGGAAGGCCCCATTCACACCTATGCGTATTGTAATATGCGCGTCTGTCGCGCGACCGTCACGCGGTTTTTGTACCGCGATTCGCGGTAAAAAAGTCGCGCGACCGTCGCGCGATTCCAAAGGCTACTTGGCAGTATACAAATGGAAAACGCCCTACAAAACGGACCAATACGCAGCAAAAAACGCTCCGGGACCTTTTCATGCGTGGGCCGTTTTGTAGTGCGTTCGGGACGGGCGGAAATACGGACAGGTGGGAACGATACCATTGACTACAATGCTATTTATTTTTTTGACCGTTTTGTAGAGAGTTCATCGAGCGTAGGACGCGCTACAAAACGCTCAGGTGTGAATGGGGCCGAACTCCTTACAGAACACTTACTTTTCTTTTTTTCCAGAAGTTTTAGACGGTTGATGACGAGCCTGAGATTGACCCTGAGTCGTTCCGGTTTAAATCCTGAACCCAGCATGGTGCCTTTGCCTCTAAAGAAAGAGAAAAAAGCACAAAATGAGAAATTCATGTACACAGGCAACAATTCTAATTTCTTGAATTGTATTGTGATTGTAATGTCTTCCTTATATTGTAAAGCGCTGCGCAAACTGTTGGCGCTATATAAATCCTGTATAATAATAATAACTCTTCCTCGCCATTCTTCCTAAAACGCTTATGCTGCCCTCTGCCCTCTCTGTTTTCAGCCTAGTGGAAATTAAGATGTTCTCTTAAAGAAATCTTTTACATTGGTTTTATTTATCATGTTAAAGAGTTCACTCCAAGATTAATAATGTTACACACGTGTGTTAATTTTTTTTTTTTATGTATTTTTGCATGTTCTATGCATAGATTATAATTCTACTGTATATGTACATGGTGGCAGACATTTTTGGTCATTACATATGTAGGTTCTGCTTCCTGCTTCTTTGCAGCACTACACAATAGTTGTACTTTACTGCTCCTTATCACAATGCAAGTTTATTGATTGGCCAACTGCCTGCTCCCTCTGTACCATGCTGACCGTGTGGCTTTGGCCCCTGGCTTGCTTGACTTCTCTCTAGTCCTGCTCCCTACCACGCTGATCCCTCAGCTGGCTTCTAGTCCTGCCTGACCTTCCCAGGGAAACTATTGCTGGACGTTTGCCAGGCAGTGGGCCTCAACATCTCGGCACCTGTGCTACTCTCTGTCTGCTCGCTCCCTTTCCCCACTTCCAGGGGTGTGAGACAAGAGTCGCAAAGGAGGCCTCCTCAATCAAGTCGGTCCTCTGCCAGGTACATGATACTTTGTCTTTGATTGAATCCTTGGGTCCTCAGGGGAGGAGTCACTGCTCTGACTTATTCACTTATGTGTGCAAATTTCAAGCCGATGTCTGAGGAGGACCAAGATGGCGACTTGGGAACCGGGCTGTGGCAGTGGAGCAGCAGACCACAGCAGGACAAGGCTGGACTTGATGGACAGGGGCGTATGTGAATTGAGGACATCCCTGTCTAACAGGTAAGAAGTGAAAATAAGCTTAAACCTGCAGCTTGTATACAAGGCCCCTTTCATACGGGCTGATCTGGAAGAGATCTGTGCACGGATCCCCACCTGATCACAGCAGATCGGAGCGATGTCACCGTATGTCATTGCAAGGTGGAGGAAAAAACTGAAACTGCCAGACCCCATGTTGGTCTTTGGGGAATTGGATGTAAATAGACATGTGTTTACATCAGATTACCCCTGAAACGGCACGATCAGGTCCGGCGAAACGGATCTCTGATCTTCCAGACCTGGCCGGAGGCGGGGGTCACCGGGTGTAAATGGATGGTACAGGGCTGCCTGTAGACTAACATTGGGCATCCGATCAAGTCCGCCAGAAAAATTGACAGGCAGACCTGACTGGACCACCCATGTGAAAGTGGCCTTAGAGTAATAATAAAAAAAGTTAAATACATAAATAATAACAAATATTATTGGTTATTTACCTGATAAGAAATGTAAAAAGTGTATATTTTATTCGTGTCCATAACAAATAAAGAAAGAACAAAACCGTTGTATGTTCCCTATGAAGTGGTTGCAGCGTCTAATTAAAACATAAAACAAACCAGTAAAAGGTTAACCACCAAACAATCTCTCTGCTTTGTGGATTTGCCAAGGTACATAGTACTGCCCTGTAGTCTGGCAGGTGTGCAAATGCCTTTCCTGTGAGTTTGTCTCTATCACATGGAGGACAGAAATAAGCAATCAGAATAATAAGCAATCAAAACATATACCTGCACATAGGCGTAACTCAGGGACATGCGGTCAGGGGAGGCAGGTGAGGCAGAAAAAAGGTGATCATTAAACTTTTTGTAGAACTACAAATGTCAGCCCTGCTGTAAGGTTTTGATGGAGGTGAACCTATGGAAAAGGTGACTGCATTCGGGTTAATTTCAGTGTGTAGGAGATGTTCAGAGGGCAATAAATCTACAGTGCTAAAAGTAAACAGAGGGGGATCTGTGATTAGACATACTGAGGTACTTACAGCTTAGCTTTTCTCATCAGCCCCCCTATTGGGGTCCCCTCCTACCCCAGGCCCCATAGCAGCTGCATGGGCTGCTGTAGCTATTGTTACGCCACAGTACCTGTATACTGAGTCGCCCTTTGCTCACTTTAGACCTTTTGTGCTATGCCACAACCACAGCTCAATAGGCAGAAAGCCAGCTGATATCAATGCCATGGAAACAGCAGGCTCACTTTCCAGAAGCAGAAGTAAAAGTTGAACTAATGGTGGCACCAGTGGCTCCATTCGTATACCGGAGTGGG